TTTTATCTCAAATGCTGGATTGGTCTGAAGGGTGTGAACCTCACTAGTGTGAGTGGTTCCCTTATTGGTTTCTCTATTATTTGGCTGAGAGTGAGCCAAGTGGGTGAGTTCATTTCTAGACCAGAAAGGTGACGAAAGGCCTAAAGGTCCTCAAGGTCTCTGTTCAACGAGTGAACCTGTCCTCTTTTAGCATTTGGAAATACTCAAGAGTTCTGCCAGTCAGTGTGCCAACTTCAATTGCGAGAGAAAACTTTCTGTCTCCCCGCATGGCATACTTTTGGCTTCTCACCTCCGTCATCTTGTTGGTGAGATCCAAACAAGCAATGCGGTTCACTCCTAGAGAACTTTGTAGAGTCATCGCTTTACCTGCTTCCTCATTTAATCCCTTTGAATGCTCAGAGGGCAGAGGCGGGTGCAGACAACTGCACAATTTCAGGTCTGGGCTCCTCTGGTGATCTGGTGCCCTTACCACTCCAGCTCACTGCATCGGTCGTGGACACTGAAGCCTGTGTGCTTGACCCAGCACAAGGCTGCAGAAAGAGAGTTATTTGGGCTCCCCTTATCCTCTGTGAATTCCCCTTCCTTCCCAATTGCAATCCTCTTCGCTTCACTTTCTCCTTTCTCGTGTGCACCCCTGTGGTTCACTGAACACCTGAGTGTTATGAAGGAGCTGGTTAATGAGCCCAGTCCCTGCATCCTGTGCACCTTACTTGTGCTCACCACTGTAATGCCGATCTGCACCTTCAACATATCTATAACAACTAGGGAGAGCATTTTCATCCGTTCCGTTTCTGTGCAACCTTGTGTGCCGGGCCTGGGCTGGACAAAGATGGAAGAAGACAGACAGCTTTCCTTTGGAGAAGCCTCAGCCTCTAGTGGTCAGGTGCCATCGAGTCAGTTCTGACCCATAGTGACCCTGTGCACAATGGAAGGGAACACTCTCCGGTCCGGCACCATCCACCTAAATACAGGAACCCTGATGCTGGACTGGCCTAGGCACGGGGCTGCTAGCTGCAAGGTTGGTGGTTGGAATCACCCAGCTGCTCTGCGAGAGAAAGATGAGGCTGTCTGCTTCTCAGAAACCCCAAAGGGCAGACCTGTGCACTCCTATAGGGTCACTGTGACTCAGAATCGATCCCATGGCAGTGAGTTTGGAACTGTAGACAATGAAGTCTTTGCCACAGGGTTCCTGCAGGGCAGGGTGCAGTGGGGAGAAAGATCTTTCTCGCAGGGTTGTGGGAGGGATGTGGAAGGGGTCACTTGAGAATACTGTTTAAGCTGAACTCTGAAGAGTGTCTCCCCCGGGAAGGAAGGTAGCACAGAGGCTTTTTTGTTATTGCTATTGTTTGTTAATATTGTGATTTACACGGAAGTTTACAAAACCAACTAGCTTCTCACTCAGCAACGCAGACATGGATTATTCCATGACAGTGGTGACCACTGCCACAATGTGTCAGCACCCTCCCCATGTCCCCATTGGGTTTCCTGTTTCTGATCACCCAGGCTTCCTGCCATCGTCTGCTTTTTAACCTTCACTTTGAGGCAAATGTTACCCTTTTGGTTTCATATAATGACTGTTCTGAGGAACATGTTCTTCCGGGGTATTATTGCTCACTTTATAGGCCTGGCCTGTTTTTCATGTGGATGAAAAGTGATCTGCAGCAGTGGTTTTAGCCCAAACTTAGAAGAGTTTCTGAGGAGCCTTGGTGGTGCAGTGGTTACATATTGGGCTACTAACTTCAAGGTTGGTAGTTCAAAACCATCAGCCACTCCAAGGGAGAAAGATGGGATTTCCACCCCCATAAAGCGTTACAGTCTTGGAAACTCACAGGGACAGTTCCACCCTGTCCTACAGGGTCTTCATGAGGGGTATTGACTCACTAGCGATGAGATTTAGAAGAGTGTTTCAGGACCACATCTTAGGGGTGTTTGCCAGTCTACATATGACTACTAACCTTGGTTGTCTTTATGATTTTCAGTTTTGTTGCACACTTTCCTCCCCCTCGATCCAGGTTCTCCAAGTGTGATCCCCGTTGCTGCGGTCAGTGGTAGTAGCTGGGTTTCATCTGTTGTTCTGATTTCAGGTTGGAGGGGCTGTGGTGCATGTGGCCCGTTTAGCCCTTTGTATGAATCTGCTCCTTGAGTCTTTTGTTTTCTTTCCTCTTTTTTGCTCCAGATGGAGGGAGACCAAAAGCTACAACTTCCATGTCTTCTCACAGAATTTTCAGCCCCCGGTTGCTACTCACTAAAGTAAGACACAGAACATTGTCTTCACGGCCTATATTAGACCAACTGACCGAGAACTCCCCTGAGTCTGTGAACTCTAGCCTTCAGGCCCAAATCTCAGTCCCCAAAGAAAGTTGCTTTTCACCAAGGGGTTTTTGGGACTCTCAGGACCTCGAGTTTTTCTCAGCAAGAAGAGCATGAAATACATTTCCATGACAAATGAAAGGGAATTACCATTCCATCTCATCCAGAAAAAAACTAATGTTTTAATCTAGGCTCTTGAGTCAAGGAATGACTAGTCAGGGGCTTTCATGAACTATGGCAAGGGGAGTTATGTTTTAAGCCAGATTTTTCTTTCCTTTTGGGGCATCTCTCAGATAATATCTTCAAGTTGGCTTTCTCTTCTCCTTCTTCCAGCCCAGTCCATCCAGATCACACTGCTCTTTGGAATTCTGTTCTGAACCCCTTTTAGTTTCTTCTGCCAAGTTTCCCAGGGCAGCCCTGTGGCTATTAGTACCAATGCATTTGCATAGGCTGTAAGAAATTGTTGGTGTTGATGAATCTTCTGCCTACTTTATTTAAAACGGCATCCTATCTTTCTATTTTTCCACAAATACACTTGTATCCAGTGCCTCTAGGTATAGACCGTTTCTTTTCATAACATTTAATGAATGGTAGAACTGGTTCTGCAAATGCATTGCCTTAATCTTCTTGCCTGCAGTGAGATGCTTTTAATATTTTCTCCACATGTAAACAAAATGTTTTCTTTCAGCTTTTCTTTAATTTCCATGTGGTTAATTTCTTTCTACTACAGGGAGCCTGGGTATTTATAGATTTTTTTCACCCTTTCACTCTATCTTCAATAATTTTCATTTTACATTCAGTGAACACATCCATCATAATAAATGACCCTTTCTCCATTTGTATTGACTCACATTTATTTAAAACAGGCTCCCTTTTTATATCATTATTAATGTTTATGATAATTTTTCAGAAGCTCCGGGAGCAGGATATTAGAGCTGGCACAGAGCTTCAAGTTGTCCTATTAAATCAAATGACTCCTATCATGATGCTGGTCTTCGAGTTTTATCATTAGATGAAGAACAAGGCTATGTGCTGCTTTCTTTCCCCTTTAATTGACTGACTATAAAATGAGGAGATTAAATAAGCATCTCTAAATTATCCCCAACGTCATAAAAATGTTTTTAATATGACAGATGTTTCCTACACTGAAAAAATGTAAAATAGTCCCATTATTAATTTTGGACATTTTCATAACTAGCAGTCCAACTTTCACAACTTGCATCATTCCTAATAGATATAAGTAGAGGACTAAGTTACAAGTAATGAATAATTGCTATACTTAAATGTGACTGCTATCATAGAATATAATGATATTAAAAATTTAATATTACTTTAGGCTTCATTTCTGTTCTTCCAAATTTTTTTTTTAATTGTGTGAAGTGAACTTGTTTGTCGCAAGACTCCAAGTCCATTTCAGTTTCACTTTCCTCCTTTTTTCTTTAAGCCACTCACACCACTGTTAGGTTCTTCCAAAATTTTATACAACTATTCATGCCATGTAAATAAGGCTTGGTGGTGGAATGTGTAAGTGCTTGGCTAGTGATCCAAAGGCCAGTGGTTTGAACCATCAGCTGCTCTGAGGGAGAAAGACTTGGCAACGTGCTTCAGCAAAGATTCTAGCCTGGGGGAGAACCCCCGAGACGACAGCCCAGAAGTATCCTTTAGGTCTGGAACCGAGCTCACTGCGTGTTAGAATACTCGGCCGTTTAACAACAAAGGAGTCCTTCTTACAGAGTACAAAGTGTTAGGAAAAGAGGAGGCATGGAAACCGAAAACACAGAGGAGATAGGTGAGGGTGTATTGAGTCAATGGCAATGGATGAGAGGAACCCTGGTGGTGGGGTGGCTATGTATTGGACTCTCCTAATCACCAGGTCAGAAGTTGGAAACCACCAGCCACTCCATAGGAAAAAGCGACGCCCATAAAGAGGCACAGGGGCAGTTCTCCCTGGTCCCACGGGGCCGATATGAGTCAGCATTGACTCGATGGCCGTCAGTGTGGCTTTGTTTGGCAATGCGCAAGTGGAACAAAATCTGTCTGAATTGTTGAATGTAAACATTTACCCAATTCACAACGAAACGTGAAAAGCAAGCAAACCGAGAGACTCTTCACATCTGTCTAATTATGATAGAGCAGACAACCCTCAATTGTGACACCTGCTAAAAAATGCCTGGACAATAACCTTCAAAAACAGTCAAGGTCACGAAAAAGAAAAATTACAGCCTGACAGACCTTGTGGCATAGTTGGACTCTCACTTGGGGACCTAGTGAGTGGTAGCGGACTGAAGGGCACAACAGCATCAAGATCCCTGCCACAGTTTCCAGATGGAAGCGGGGGCGACAACGGGCAGGCCTTGGACTGCTGTTCTTTGGGAAGACACAAACTAGATCTAAAAATCATAGAACTTCTTGTTTGTTCGGGTTTCTTAGAAAATATCGTTCACAAGTAGCTCTTTGTACTTCTGTGAACCCCCTGAGTCAGTCTTGTGCTCTCCCAATACCAACATTTCAATTGCTCAACCACAGTATTAGTATTAGATATTAGTAAACTTTTTCTGATTCTAGTTAGGCATGCATTTTCCTTGTTGTTCTTGAAAAATTAGCACATAACCAATTTTTATTGAGTTTGATGATAAGGACTGTAGAAAAGGTGTAGCATTAATATTTTTATTAGTGTAGATCTCAGCAATTGATGTCACCAATTGGTTGTATGCTAGCAAGGTAGCAAGAGGACCCAAAACCTGGGAAATTTTTTATGGTCATGTCCACAGCAAGTCAGAAACTGCATTGTAAAAAGCCTTTGTAATGACCACTGTTTGCATGCATTTTCATTTCTTAGCTGCACCCACTGAATAGTGTGGCATTTTGTGAGAATTTGCATCATTATTTTAAAACCCCACACCTATGTTACATAGTTCTATGCTAAATTTTGGATATCAGAAATGCTAAAAACATCGTTTGGATTATTTCTGGTTTCAATTTTGTATTTTAGCATTGTATTATTACTCCAGAATAATTTTCACCAGTTATCTTATTCACATGATCCAATAATTTCTATATGCATTTCACTCCTTGTGAGTAAATTTTAAGCTACATTTCAACATGCAAAAGCTAGCAGTTGCAGAGAAGAATTTTGTTGTCATTGTTGAAAACACACCAATTCCATAATTTCTACACGTAACGTTCCCTGGCATCGCTTACCTTCTTCAAGCCTGCAGCCATTTTCATTTTCCCTTTCGGAATCATTCCTTCACAGCTCCCATCAACTCACTCTCCTAAACTCTTCTCTGACCTTTCCGATGAGTGTGATCTGTGTGATTCCATATCCACAAGGCTTTAGAGGAGCACCGATAAATAGCACGATGCTCAAGACGGACACTGCTCAAATGATATTTCATTGAACACAGGTAATTAGCTGCTTACCCCCCCCCCCATCTGGTTGCCAGTTCTAACTTACAAATCCAGCTAGACCAGAGGATGTACACTGGTGCAGATAGGAACCAGAAACACAGGGAATCCAGGACAGATGATCCCTTCAGGAGCAGTGGTGTGAGTGGCGATACTGGGAGGGTGGAGGGAGGGTGGGGTAGAAAGGGGGAACCGATTATAAGGATCTACATATA